GGCGAGATCAGTGGGGGTGATGGGGTGAGAGTAGGGATATGTGAGTTCATCGAAAATAACATGACGGGAGGTAATGACCTTATGGGTGAGGAGGTCAAGAAAACGGTATCCCCGTTGGTCGGACGGGTAGCCGAGGAAGACGCAGCGGACAGAGCGAGGTGCTAGTTTGTTGGGGGCAGTGGCGGAAATATTCGGGTAGCATAAGCAGCCAAAGACACGAAGGTGTGAGTAGGTAGGAGGGGTGCCATAGAGGACTTCATGGGGCGTGCGATTTTGAAGGGTGGTGGGTAGGATGTTAAAAAGATGAGAAGCCATATGAAGGGCTTCGACCTAGAAGGAGGGGGGTAAATTTGCTTGAAAGAGAAGAGTGCGGACAGTGTTGTTGACAGTGCGAATAGTGCGTTCAGCACGGCCATTCTGTTGGCTTGTGTGCGGACAAGAAAAACGAAAGAGGATACCGAGTGACTCAAAGATAGTGCGTAGGGGTGCATTACGGTACTCGGTGCCGTTATCACACTGGACCGCCTTGATGGTGGTGTTAAACTGATTTTGCACGAGAGCAATGAAAGTACGAAGATGAGAACACACATCAGATTTATGTCGTAATGGAAAAACCCATAAATAATGTGAATAATCATCTAACAGTAATAAGTAAAGTTTAAAACCAGTTACACTTGGGACGGGGGATTGCCACAAATCTGTATGTAATAATTGAAAGGGAAAAGTAGAAATACGACTCGATGACTCAAACGGGAGACGAACATGTTTTCCCAACTGACAGGCATGACATAAAGAGTGCTGAAATTGTTTATTAGAAGTAGATGAAAAATGAGGTAGGGATGGGACGCCACGGAGAACAGCATAACTCGGGTGGCCAAGACGACGATGCCATAGAACCGGATCAGCAGTGGCAACGTGAGCTTGGGCAGCGGTGGGGCTCATAGGGTAGAGGGGACCAGCATTATTGGACCGATGAATCACGGTTCCCGTCAGCATATCCTTCACAGAAAAACCAGTAGGGTCAAATTCAACAGTGCAATTATTATCTCGGGTGAATTGTCTAACAGATATAAGGTTGTGGATGATATGTGGTGAGACAAGGATGTTGTGTAGGGAGAGGGGAAGGGTAGTGGGAAAGTGGTAATTACCGGTTGCCGTAGTGCGAACTTTCGAACCATTACCTACAGTGATATATGATGATGAATTTAAAGAATGAGAACGAACATGAGAAAGAGTACCTGGGTCGGAGGCAATATGGTGAGAGGCGCCCGTATCCATGTACCAGCTGGGGTCGCGAAGGGTCAGGGTGTCAAAATGATGAGCAAGAGCAGTGGGGGTGAGGGGGTTGGACGCAGGCGTAGTGGGTTGGGTTATGGGTGATTCGGGCAGTGGGNGGGGTTTCGGTTGGGGTGGGAGAACTGCCAGGGGGGCTGTGCTTGGGTGGGCCGTGCATAAGATCCAGGGCTTCGTCCTCGACCACGACCGCGGTGATATCCTCCACGATGCCGGTTATTCAACGGGCTGCCACTGCCATTATGTCCACCACTGTCGCGGGCACTGCCGCGGCTGCTGTTTGTGCCGAAGGGGAGTCCAGAGCTGCTGCCGGAGTAGAGCACCGTGCCCGGTGTGTCTCTGCTAGAGCCAAGGTCAGTCCGCTGCTGTTCAATAAGGAGGAGGGCTGAGCGGACCTGTAGAAAAGTCGGGGACGGTGTTTGGAATTGCAGGAATGATGTTTGCTGTCGAAAGTCATCCGGCAGCCCTCTAAGCACCTGGAGGACAAGCTGTTGCTCTGAAACGGGAGCATCAACATCATCTAACCAATCTGCGATATTCTTCAGGGTTTGGCAATATGTAGCAACAGAGAGAGAGCCTTTGTGGGTGGTGCGAAAGAGATGTTCCAATTGCATCGCCCGCGCGGGTTTATTATCATGGAAGAGAGAGTAGATGGATTTCCACAATTCCGATGCCGAGTTTGTAGAAGAGATAACCAAGTCGGAGACTTCATCATTCACGGTAGAGAGGATCCAACCCTGGAGAAGGGCATCGAGTTGGAACCATTCCGCATCGTCCGCGCTTGAGGGGGTGGATATGCCGTTGAGAAAGTCGGCCAAGGAGAACCGCCGCACCAGTAGGAGAAAAAGTCGGCTCCATTTCTTGTAGTTCGGTTCCGAGAAGCTGAGGAGAACCGGGACATGCAACTTGACGTTAGATATAGTTGTAAACGCCAAGTGTGGAGTGGTTTGTGATGAAGATTCGCCGGTGGTTGGTGTTTTGTCAGACATGGCGACGCCGGCAGAGGGAGGGGGCAGCACCGGTAGTTTTCTGGAGACAAGGAGATCGGCAGAGATGGAAGGGCTCGCTGGTGCGTGAGGCAGCGAGGGAGAGACAGCAGTGAGAGGGCGGCGCTGAGGCTGAGCAGAGAGAGAGGCGGCGCCGAGATGGAGAGGGCGGCGCTAGGGTTTTGGGGACGGGGGTTACGAGGCTACGGTCCGAGACGAGGCTCCGATACCATTAAGAAATATTGTTTTCTCAATTAAACAAGGAGAACAAGGCTCCGTATATATAGTTACAACAAAGGTGTAAAGAGTAAATAAGTAAACCTATACATAAGGAAAGCTACCATATATGCAGGATACTATATATAATATATTTAACATAAAGCTACCATATATACAGGATACTATATTAAATATATAATATATTTAACAATAACTAATTCTGTATATGTTGTTTTGATCATCATTGGCATTATTACAACCAAAAGGATCCAATGATTTTGTATTGTGGAAGCCACAATTTTTATGCAAAATATGTTAAATTACACCAAGAGTAAATCTAAATACATATTTATCATGAAAGATATATCCATTATCTTTCTTCGGACCCTAACTACTGTTATACAAAGTGCCCAATCAATCTTGCTATCGTCAACATCCTTATGCTTTGATGGGAATTTAGTTTTCATTGTAGCAACCTCTTGAAATGCCGATTTTAAAAATCATGTATGAATATTTGTGTTTTGTGATGAATCCAATGCTTGTTCATAGTTTGCTAATGCTTCGAAATATAATACTCCTAAGTGGAAATTAATGGTGGAGACGTGGGAGGTTGGGCATTTGTGTGGGCAATTGTTATTATACGGAGTAATAATAATATGATTTGTTTTTTATCTATTTCCAACGCAGAGGCCAGGGGCACTAACGTGTGAAGTAGTGGTGCATTAGTGGTATTTCGATCAGTTGCCCATTTTTCTTTTGCTTTTTATAGTTACTTTTAGAATAGTTGTAATTAATATTAATATTGATATTATTATTATTGTTGTTAAAGAAAGAATATAATTCTGGACGGAACAACTTGTGTTTTTTTACAATTAGTTTTTTATTTATTTATGACAATTAAAAATTAAAGATAATGTTATTCAATTTTTTTCTACACTCCAACTGGCCCAAGATACTCTGAATCATGCAATAAAAAAATCAGCCCACTTTTGTCATTGGCCCCAAATTTTGGCATGAAAGTTTTCATCTTGCTTTTGTAAAGAGGTAGATAAAATTAAGAATAAGACTTTAGAATTAGCAAATATACAAAAATGTAAGCAATACCAAATTAAAATCATTTATTTACAATATGCATATTTTTTAGAATAATAATTTAATTTATATAGTAAGTGAAAATTAAGATTGAAAAAAAATCCTACATTTGCATTGCAGTCACCTCGCATCGTTTGTCGCCATCTCTGCCGTTGAATGATGCTCCTTATAATCAATGATCAGATGACAAAATATATTTCTAATTCTTATTCTAATGAAGGGGTAACAACTCGAAGTTGGGTGCCATTTTTGCCATCCCTCATCGGAGTCTTGTGAACATCTCTATTGGGTGTCTTCTAACTAAGGGATATAAAATATGTCGAACATGGAAGACTTCGACCATTTTCAGGCTCCAAAATGTTGAGGCAAATAGAGAAAGTAACGCAGGATGTGCGTTCCCAAGGCAAAGAAGAGAATAGGATTTAGTTATTTTCTTATTGATAATTGATAAAAAGGTTGTGTCTCTATTTAATTTATAGGTAAGAGAGCAAACCTAATCCTTATTTAACTAGGTTATCAATCTTGACGGTTCAAAAATGTGATTTGTTAAAGAATTATAATTTTTTTTGAATGAAATTAGAATTCCACTCACTTAATAAAACTATTACGATAATAATACTAGAGAAATATAATTCTTGGTTGTATAACCCTTCCGCCACATAAGCGACCTTCGCGTCCTCTGGGTCATACGCAAGCTTGCATCAGGGATCCGCTGCGAGTCTTCATCAATAACCACTGGCTTTTGGTTTGCTTCTTTTAGTGCTTCAACTATTGTATCCTCCACGGGCATTGTCGTATCAGAATGTTGGTAGCTTGTTGACTGTGAAGTGTCTTGTTTCCACCTAAGTGTTACATTGGCGATTGAATCAATGCTAACTATACAAATTTAGGTGATGAGGCCTTGAGTGTGTTGATCATGGTCTGTTAGAGTGCTTGGAGTAGTAGGATTGAAAAATGTCAGAATATAATGTGAAGGCCAAGTTCACAGACTGTGAACGCTACCATATCATCTCTTTTCTTGGTAATTGACGAAATGTTGTGTGTAGTAGTGAGCACACACTTGAAGGAGTTGAAGGCGGGGTTCAGCATTTGCAAAGACCAAGTTCTTGTCGTTTTAAACTAAACACTGATGTTTCTCCCTCACGTAGTAATCCTTATTGGGGTTTGGGCTATGTTATTCAAGATTGCTTTGGGACTTTTGTTGCGACAATGGCACTTCCTTGGGCTAGCAGGTTGTGTCCAAAGGAGGTTAAGGCAATGAGTACGAGGGAAACTTTGAGTTGGCGTAAGGAACTTGAGTTGGACGACATCGATGTTGAGACAGATGCAAGATGCCCAATTGGTTATTTTTGCTCTTGAGTCTAATTCTTTTAATTTGATTTGTGGTTTTTATTATGTTTGATATTAAAGAAGCTAATTTATCTTTTAATAGTATGAGCTTTAGATTTACTAAGAGATGTGCAAATCATGTTATCCATCTTGTGTCTAGAGAAGTTGGTTCTTTGTCTGATCACGTTAAATAGTTTTTTTGCCAAACCTTCTTTTCTTGTTAACTGTACTGTTGACACTTTAATATTTTGGCTAAGCTCACTCATTTTATGTTAAATGAACAATTTTCCCGACATCTAAATTTTATTATTTGTATTTTAAGGGCAAATAAAAAGAGTGGATGTAGCCAAATTGGAACTGGATATTGCAATACCTTTTTAGGTCTGCTTGATGAGTTTTGAAGATATGATTTTGAGATCAAGAAGAACATATATGAGTTCTAAAATTTGAAAGAAATATGTTTGAACAAAAAGAAATGAAATCAATTTACAGTAACAAACGTATGGTGAGTAATTAAGAAATCAAATTCAAGAGCCGGATATTACTTTAATACTCTGTATATCCGTGCAAAATAAACATTATTAGGCTACTTGTTAAAAAAACATTGGGCTTTATATTCATTGTTTTATACGGAGTAATAGATGGGTTGGGCGTTAATTTTCAACGTATGGGACTAAGGCGGTCAAGCCCAACTCTAATGCATTCTAACAACTGCTACACCTAGAAATATCCCTCTGTTTGATTCCACAAGCTTCCCCTCCGTCCCTGTCCTTCAATTCGACGAAATCACCGTTCTTCCATAGCCATTCATCCACAGGTATTTCTTCTCCAATCTTCGCTGCTTCAACTCCCGCTCTTATCAACTGTTTCCAGTTTGTTTTTTCATCATTCAATTGTCCAGATATGAGAACACAAAATCATTAGGCGGCTTAACATTACGGAATTTCTTAGATCTATGGTCAAAATACCAAATTCAAATCGCCACTCTAGTACTCTACACATATCGTATTTGCCCTATGCGTGTTTGTCTTGTTTTGTTTTTGTTTTTTTTGGGTTTTAAAGTGCAAGGAGTCGCTATTACTTAAAATGTGCTTATTTTAATTGGACTAAATTCCATAAATGGTCCCTAATTATGGGTGATTTTCTATATTTAATTTCCAGTTTTAAGATAATTGATCTTTTAGGGACTATATGTGGATTGTGGAAAAATTATTTTGTCATGTTTGGCTCAAAGGACTATTTATGGAATAGTTTTCAAAAATTGAGGACAATATATGTAGTATCTTTAGAATTAGGGACTAAATATGGAAAACCACCGGTAGTTAGGGACCGTTTATGAAATTTACTCTTTTAGTTGTTAATATAATATTTTACATTAAGAAATCTGATTTTTTTAATCATATTTTTTATTTTTAGGAAAAATAAGATCTTATGCTAAATTACTTGTTTGAAGAAAGTGAATATTTTTAGTTCAATTTCCGGCGTGAGAGCATATGCTGTGTTTGCTCCACTTTTCTTTGGGTGCTGATATATTTAAAAAAGATTGTTTTTTGGGATATCAAAAGGGCTATTATGATTGCTTACGTTAGAGACTTAGGGGCTTGCAGGAAAAGATTGAGAACTTATCTCCAGTTCTCCACAACAACACGCGCCTCTAAAAATTAAAGCAAACTTTAAAAATTGACAAATACTTTACTTGTTGTGCCGAGATTGATTGTACAAAGTAAAGATTGTATTGTTTTGCGGAGATGGGAAAATTACACCCATATAATTTTTGCTATAAACACAAACATGATTACAAACCAAGACATACCCAAAAATAAAACAAACACAACAAATTGGGATATAGATATTATTTTCTTCTGTCAGTATTGGCAAAGAAATTTGCATTATTGTTTTTTTTACATTCCAAAATTTGGTTTCACGTTTGACCAGAGACAATATGAACAACATTATCATTTAGGAAAATTAAACATTATTTTGGGACATAGAAAGGGGAAACTCTGGAACCTTTTTCCAAAGAGAGGGAGTGTACTGTGTACGGATAGATTTTTTATGTTCATGCATATTCATATGTTTTGTTTGTAATAATTATTATTGTGATTTTCTATATGAATTTTCATTCCTTTATACTCTCCTTGTCCCAAAATGATCTTACTGTTTGATTTTATTGGTCAAAGTTAATAAACTTTAGTCAAATTTAATGAAAAAATACCTATAGTTATGATAAAAATTCAACAACTTTAAATTTATTTTAAATGTAGTTGTGAAATATCATATTTTTATAATATTTATTATTTACCTATATAGTTATTTTTGGTCAGCTTCTGTAAGGGGTCAGATTCTAGGAGTCAGGTTTTTAATAGTTATTGATAGGAGTTTTTGGGTCCGACTGTTAGCTTATGATTCTGTTAGGGCCTAAGGGGTCTATTTTCCAGCTGGCTCTCTTGGTTTTTGGGTACTTTTTGGTCAAGGTTTTCAATTTTTTGTTCTTAGTGAGTAGGTTAGCAGCGGGTGGCTGTTCTACGGGAGACAACGGAATTCTGCCAGAGATAAGTCTGTGGGAAGTGGGAAGTATGACAGTGAGTTATTTTTAGGACATTTTCTCAAAACAGCGATGAATTAGAGGAGGTGGTGATAGCCTGTGACAGTTTCAGACAATTTTTTTTTTTTTTGCAAAAAGTAAGACTTGAGATTATCGAATGGATATTATCTAGGATTAAGACTTTGCTCTAGTTATGTTTGCACTTGATTGGGAGCTCGTTTGGTGATCATCTGCAAGAGAGGGCAGACATCAGCAGTCAGAGGTTAGAGTGATCATTTCAATTCAAATTGTTTTCTGCAGCAGCTAAATCTTCTTCTGTGGTTGGGCAGCTCATTGCTAGGGTTTTTCTTTTGGTTGGCCTATGGGTGAGAAGCAATTAAGCAAACACACACCTGGATTATTCAGTTTTTCTTAAAACGCTGAAGAAAAACAAGCACGTCCTGGGGAATCATCAACCTAGCGCTATTGGGGAATCAGAAGAGTAGCGAGTCAAGGAATGACACTAGTTTTCAGCACTGGTGGTCACATTCTTCAAACTGTGAGAGAAGTTGCCGGAAAAATTAGCACTTTAGGCAATGTCCATCCAAATCCAACACAACAGCAGTGAAGGTGGCCTACAACAACAAATTGTTTGGAAGCAGCACATGAGGAGCCTGGATGTAGGATAGACTTAGTCGGTAAAGGCAGTCTCACCCTCCGTGGGGACAGTTGGACATGACTTTCTTGGTCAGAGGGGCTTTCTTCCATTTGGTCTTATTTCTTTGTATTCTGAGGACAGTATCTTGGGTTCTAGATTTTCCCTTTCCTTTGTTTTGGGCTTATTCTTGTTTGTATAGTTGGGCTATAGCGTATCACTGTGTTATGGGCTTTTGAGCTGTATTCTCTATTTTCCTAATAAAAATTCTCTTTTGCAAAAAGGAAGGGTTATTAATGGTCTAAGTGTTGCATTGGAGGCCATGAATCAGTCAAATGAGAAGGTCATTTTGGAATGGAAGGCATATCATATATATACTATGTCTCAAGAAGTCTACATTCTTGACACTTATGTGTGTCAAAAGAAAGAGTCATATTTGATGACATGAAGTTTTCTTGTTTTAATCTCGAAAATAGGGTCACAAGAGCTTGTTGATAACCTCACCTAAATTAGCTAAGAAATTTTGTAATATATACTCACGAGGTTTTGAAAGGCAAAATATAGTCTTGAGCTGTTTGAACAAAATGCCATGAGGCTTACGCCTCAAGGAAGAAGTATAATTATCACGGTGTCGCCTAGGCGTCCTGGCGGACAGCTCCTCTAACCTTGGTGTATCGCCTCACCTTATTTCATGCTCAATATTTACTTTGCACTAAGAAGTCTTACATTGTCTTTTATTCATTTTTCATATTCTTCTTTTTTTCATATTATGGTGTGTTTATATATTTTTTTAAGTACGTGTATTTGAAATTTTGATTAGGTTTAGAGAACATGTATGTTTATATTTATATATTAGTGTTACTAATGTATACCAATCCTGACTTATGTGTTGCTGCCTATGTCGTTTAGACGTCTAGGTGTCATGGTGGTACACTAATGCCGCGCCTCGCCTTGGCACCATGATAACTATGGGAGGAACAAGGTGTAAGCCTCGATTAATAAAACTAATACTATATCTTAAAATTTAATAAAATACAAAAAATAAAATTATAAAAATTAAGAACACAAATGTCTCAACTCCATCTCCAAACTTCAAACATATGGATAGAATTTCACACAAAAAATAGTTAGCCTTCCAGTATTTTATTACAACAACAATAAAGCCTTATCTAGTTATCCCACTAGGTGGGGTCGGCTACATGGACAAACGACGCCATAGCGCCCTATCATGCAGTGAAATTCATACATTGTTTATACTCTGTGCTAATTTTAATTCTAATAACAGAACCAAACAAATTTCAACCATCATTAATATCTAAATATAAAAGCAAATTTCAGAGAAATTAAACAGAAATGAAGAGGGAGGGAGATGCTGGAAAAAATAAAAGAAAAAGAGGAATTACAACTTTACAAGTTGAAAGAAAAAAAAAGATGAAGGAATTGGAATATGAAGCAATTAGAATATGCAACAATTATCTTACCACAGGAGAGAGGAGGCATGTGCTGAAGTCTTGAGAAATTATCGACTTAGTTTTTGAAGGCAAGGTAAATAGTGCACACATAGGCCCGATATATTAATTTTTTGTACAAAAGGCCCAACAGCTTTTTAAAATTCTCATTAATACTGAGGCTTCTGCTTGGACTCGTACCTCAATACGCCTGAATGGCGTAAGTCCCAAATATCTTTGCCGAGGCTTAAAGGGATAACCTTTGTGCCTCAGCACGTCAAGGCGGACCCCCTTGATCACCTCTGAAAACCATTCTCCCTCCATCCCTAAAATAAATTAATCTTTGACTTCACGGAGTTCAAAAAAAGAGTTGAAAATTAAAAAGTAGGTTGTTAGAATCTGTATAGAAGAGAGAAATATTGTGAGCCACATATTCTTTTACTTAATAGCAAATTTAAGAAGTGACTTTAATTTTGGCAACAAGTGACTTTTATTTTGGGATGGAGGGAGGATAAGACTAAAGTCTCTGCCTTAGGGAGGGAAGGTTTACGTTCACCTACTTGTGAGACTGAGACTTCACCTACCTGTGAGACTGAGACTTAACTTTGTTGTTGTATGTAAGAGCAATGATTTACAGTTACATACTTGCACTTTAAATGTTGTACCGTTCCTAAGCTAGACAAGACTTTTTTTACTGAGGTTGTAATACTGTACTGATTGGTTTCTTTATCTCATGAAGGATGTGGTGGACTTTTGTCTCTTGTTGTGCAAAGTAAATGGATTTAACATACTTGTTTATCTCACTTGGTTATATTCGTTAATTATAAAATTTCTTGGGTCTGTTATTGGCCAGGGTTATCAATGGAATACTTTCTCTGAGGCACAACTAATTCTAATTTGTATAGAGTTCTCTTGGAATTAAATTTGTGGATCGGAGTGTGTGCTATTGGAAGAAATGGAAACACAATTCGGACCGGTATTGGATAGCAGCAGGCATATCACTGTCAATTTAAAAAGAAAACACGATTTTCAATCTGAGAAGTTCAACCATGTGACTAAGCACATATCCCTTCCGACTGTCTGGCCCCCTTGTAATGGCATACACAAGGTCGTGAAGCAAAGAAAGCTCAATGATGTCAAAAGCAAGTTTGGATATGGTGGGGTTCACCACAAAACATCACTGCTTCAACACTATCTGAACTTTCGGAAAAGTGGACCTCTAAAACGCTTGATGTATTATCAAGATGGTGAGTGGATTGACTTTCCTCAAAGTATTCTTCCAGTGGTTAAAGAAGATCTGCAGATAGAGAAATCAGTAATTGAAGTAGACTTGGATGGTAAAATTTGTGTGCTTGACTTTGTCTCTATGATGCTTGTGGACTTGAGGACGGGTAATCAGCAGTCTATTGCATGGATTGATGAAGCTGGGAACTGCTTTTTCCCTGAAATTTTTGCAGATGGTGTTGGAGGGGACGAGTGCAACTGTCTGGAACATGAGAACAATCAAGTTGGTATAGATTTGAATGCCCAAGAATCCAATGTTATCAAATTGCAAATTGAGATTGAACTTAACAGATCAAATATTTATGAGCAAGAAGAATCAAGTGGGGACTCCAATGCTCTTGTTAAAGTGGTTAAAGTTGATTTGAAACCTGAAACAGAAGATTCGACGATGGAAAACGGTGATGATCAGAATGGCGTTTCTGCTTCAAAAGGCAATGGAAGCTCCGCTGAAAATTTGCCCGGAGAAGAAAAGGCATTGATGCTTGATCCAGCATGGGGTGATCTGGAATCTGATTCAGTGAGGAAAATCTTCCTCATGGGCATTAAGCAATCTGCTCATGCAAGTATAATTGATGTATCTCGTGGATCAAGCACTTTCATGGAAGCTAGATTAGAACTTTTTCAGAAGCAAGCCGAAATTGTAAAAAAGTTGCGTGGACATCCCAATGTCCAATTTGCATGGCTTCCTTCCACTAAAAGTGCACATTCCAGCATAATGAATTATGGCATTGTTAGTGGTGATTCAACCAATAAGAATTCTCGGTATGGATTCGGAGTTCATCTAAACCCTATTAATCATACTGAGATCAGGTAAGTGCTGCTTTGCCCTCTTCATTATTTGTTGGCTGAATTCATCAAAATTTTAAATAAAGTTACTTGGGTCATATTTTCTTAGTTACATTACAATGGATAAAGATTATTGTTCTACAAGGCTTCTCTTACCCGTTGTTTTTTTCATGAGCTTAAACTAGAACTAGCATGCTTAAATGGACAGACGAGACAGATGTCTAAACATAACACTATTGGAGTAATCTTATTTTTGTGACAACTGTTTTAGTGTTTCTTACCCAAAAGATATGATTTTGTCGTAACCAAGCCCCCCACCCACCGACCCCATCTCTTTGCCAGAGATTCTTTAACCTTTTGTGCATTTCATTCATACATCCAGGCAAGCTGTAAAGTTGCATTTAGTCTCTGGTATTTTTTGAATAAGTGCTACTGTATATAGCTGATGTCTTTATGCACCATGCCACTATTTATAGTTATTCTCGCATACTTTCTATGATTGGTTGCAGAGTGGTCTTTATGTTTTATAAATGGTACGGGGTTCATCTTTGTTGTCAAGACATTTTAATTACAGTTAATTAGTCATAATGTTTTTTGACATTCCTATCAAAGTTTACTCAAGTGTGAATACTGTTGAATCCTCCGGTTGATACGTTCAGAATATGATAAAATTGGTATTTTAGCGATTCTTTTTATTAGTTTCTCTTATTTCTGTATTGAGTTGTTGATTTTTTTCCTAGTGCAAATTTATGTGATATTGACGAAAATGGGGTGCGACACATGATTTTGTGCCGAGTCATTATGGGGAACGTGGAGCCAGTTTCTCTTGGATCAAAGCAATTCCATCCCAGTAATGAGGCTTTTGATAATGGTGTAGATGATCTTCAAGGCCCAAAACATTTCACAGTATGGAGTATGAATATGAACACCCATATTTATCCAGAATATGTTGTTAGTTTCAAGTTTGAAGCTGAAGGTGATAGTTTCACTCTCTTTGTGATTTTTCCATGTCCAATTTGCTCACACACACTCTAGAAAGACCTTGCACATAGTTTGTCTTAATCATTGTAAAAGTCGTAAGGCAGAATTCTATGATGTTTCAATAGCGTTTTTTAAAAATAAACTTTAGTTGTGCCTCCAATAAGTTCGCATCAGCATTTCCAGAAGTTGAGTGGCGAAGCTAAACTGTTTTGATAGTTAATTTTTTTTTATGTATTAGAGCTCATAAATGGGAGTTTTTGTTGTGGTGCGCAACACTGCAACCCTAAATTATGTTAGATTAAATTCTGAATGATATGAAGTGTTGGAAGAGATGCCTTATTGGTTATAGAAAATCACGAAAAGAATACACACCTGAACTCACTTGTAATTTTTGTCATAGGAACTGTGGTTCAAAGTGACAAGATACACAATTTTTCAGGGGTTAGTACTTGTTACGAGGGGTCTCCATATCAGGTACGCTCATACTCATTCGTGCAACAGGCTTGGTGAGTCCTCGAACTATAGAGAGGTTTTAAAATTTTATTTTATTTGGTGTGATTTCCCCCCGTTTTGCTATCATACCAAGTAGGATTTCTATTGTATCAGGACATTAGAGATAGTTTAAATATCAATCAAGGTTGTAGATAATCAGTTTAGGACAGAAATGACAGAAAACTATTAATCAGGTTAAGAAAGTCACAATTTTTGAATTTGTTATATATATATCTATACATACATACATACATATATATATAGTTTAAATTTTTTTATTATTATTTAAACGGTCGGTTACAAGCAGGGGGCCCGAGGCCCATTAACCTCGTGACCGCCCCGGGGCCCGTTAAACACCCGAGGCAGATAGCCCACTATAAGAAGCCCAATGAAAGCCCAATCTAAAGCCCAGCCCCATAAATCTGCAAACACTTCCCAGGGGGTCACCCATCGTTTCTGCTACTCCATGGCCAGCACGCTTAACTCCTTTAAAATTTCCCCAAAGTTGCCCCTTCTGAAGATCAAACCCGGGTGGTGTGGTTCGCCAATCAACCCTGTGACCATCTCTACTGGGGGAACCATATATATATATATATATATATATATATACACACACACACACACACACACACACACATACATATATACACATACATATATACACACACATATATATACATATATATATACATATATATATATATATATATATATATATTTCAATGAATATTTCTTCATGGATTATGCATGAAATTGAGTCAAGAAGTTACTAAAAAGTACTTGTAAAATTAAAAAGAATTCAATATCTGATTTTTAGTCTTGGATTGATAGTTTCTATCATTCAACTCCTAAATTAGTAGATTTCATCTTTCAGACCCTGAATTCAATTGATAGTCCTGAATCAGTAAAACTTGGAAGAATGAATACTTGGGTGATGTAGGGTACTAATATGAAAGTAGAATAATGACATCTACAAGTTCACCCCCTCCCTTCCCGAACACACACACACTGACACACACAAGCATCCATTCTGCTGGATTCCTGGATGTAATATGAATGGTGAGGATAGTTCTTGTGCTTGATCAGTGAATCTTTATGACTGTTATGCTTATATTGTGGCTGCTGCTTTACAAAGAATGATGCCTTTGGTGTAAATTGATTGATGGTTTTTATTTAGATTTCTTGGGAGAACTTTTTTTGTGACAAATGTATTATGAGCCTCATATATGGAAAAATTATTCTTCAACACAGTAAAACTGGAATTTTAATTTTTAAGGTTATACTCCCTATGGTTCTTGGTTGGCTTCTGCATCTGATTCTTTACTCAGAGAAACATATTTTCATTTTAACTAAGACCTTCCCTTTTTTGACTCTCCTAAAAGTTTTAGATAGTGCTACAGCAAGCAAACATAGCATTTCTAGATTTCTGTACTTAAAGTAGCGTTTGACCTTGATGCCATTTGTTGTTTAATGTTGGCATTTTCTTCATTATCTTTTTTTGAATTCATCACCTTCTGCATGGAGCCCCTGAGACTGAATTAACCAATTTCATCAAAGACTCAAATTTAAGGCTGTCTGGCTTTGAAGGTAGTTTGCCATACATAAGTTCAATGAAATTGAATTATAGATAGGCTATTTGCATTCTTATTTGTTTAATGATCTTTTGCGAGGCGTTTTAGTCATTTTCTGGTCTGGTTTAGACATTGAATCTACTCTGATGCATTAGCTGTGTGTTTAATTCTTGTGATGCAAAAAAAAAAAACCCTCCCGCAACTGTAACCAGGTTTTTTGAAGCTCATCTCAGGTAACAACGCCCGATACAAATTTACTCCAAAATCAACAAGGAAATGTTCCAAGGATCCCCAAGTCCCCTTGGATGTCGTTCCCTGCATTGTTTGCTGCCATCTCTAAGAAAGTTGCTCCTGAGAAAATGAAAATCATAAATAGCAACTACGAGCTTTTCAAGGTTTGTGCATGGAATTAAAATAGAATCACATTTTGGCTCCACCCATAATCTTTTTTTTGGGAGGAGGGGTCTTCATTAAAAAAGTATTAATCTTTTTGCTTTTGCCATGATCTATGCCCGCATTGTCTTCCTTCCATGGTATTATTATCAGAGTAAAAAGATTAGTCGGGATGAACTGGTCAGAAAGATGAGGTTGTCCGTCGGCGATGCCATATTAAGGTCCACGATTATGAGTCTTCAGTTCAAGGTGAGATTTATATCTTATAGTAATAAGAGTGTTTTCTTTCTTTATCAAATTCAGAATCAAGTAACACCATGGCAATACGATTGATGTTACAATACGAAAAACTATTTTTTGTAGTGTGTGATGACTTAAACGCCGATTGCTTTGGATTTCTTAAACTATTCTAAGGTTTACCTTGATAAGATTTTTACTATTTTGACTATATGGTCAACAATTTAAACACTTAAATAATACAAAGTATCACATTAAGTGAAACATATAACCATCTGGTGATCATTTGTCACATTTGAGATGGTAATTGTATTACTTAAAGTTATCTTGCATCCCTTGAACCGACCAAATGCTCCTTTAGTTGTTTGCTGGTCACCATAACAGAAACATACTTTTTTCTATTGATTGATTCACTTGTATTAGAAATGGGGATCTTTTGGTCCTTTTGTACGACGCTATATTTTTCCAAGCTTCTCTCTTTCTTTTTGGCAAATTCCTCGTTTCAAGGGACGCTGACCGTTGATACTATATTTATCTATCTTGCTTTATGACAGATGGTCCCAACACCTGTTGAAATGGTCACAAACCAAAACTTAGAGCCCTGAAGTTTTGGCCTCTAAACAAAGAGCTATATGATCAAGTATGGGATGGTTTTTCTTATTTGTACAAATAGTATAATCCTTGAAAGTTGTCTTTTAGACCCCCCTATCGGTTGTTGATGAAACTTGATTGGTACTTTTGCTTTATGTTCCCTTTTGATAACTCGTCTTCACGTAATGGTTTCTTAAGTTGAACTGTTTTCTACTGTTAAATAAAGAGATACTAATTTCAATATGCTCCTAAACCAATTAGTGTGATGCTTATAAACTTAGATTTATTTTTTGAGTTCTTAGATTTTATATTCTGAAATTTAATTTTTAAATTTTAAATTGCAATTGTGTGTGAATTTAAAATTGAGTATTGTTGGGAAGTAGAGAAATTTGGTCTAAATTTATTTCCAATTTTTTTGGATATTTGAACATACAATTTATGTCAAATTTAAATCCATATTTTCAAACATGGCATAAGTTCATTTAGGTAAATTGGGTTAATTCGATTTACGGATTTAGTTCCAATAAGTGTACTTGGTAAGGCTCGTTTGACAATGGTATCCAATGTTATATTATGAAATTGGATCCTTCCGGCATTCTATTCATAAAAGCGGTGGTTCTTATTTTGAATCTTTTTAAGAGCATCTCCAACCATAGCAAAATGACTTGCTATATGTTATAATTTGACAAGCATATACAAAATTTCATGCTCCAAAGGGTTATTCAAAATTTGACTAGCTTGCTAAAAAATGAAAACATCTTGCTATTTATAACAAGCATGCTAGAATATAGCTAAACAAAAATTAAGGTAAATTTCTTTTACAATGATATATATTGCACAAATTAAATACTCCGTATAACATTTTTTTGTTTTTTCAATGTGAATGTGATTTTTACTGTAGGAAGAGTTCTTTGGTTTATTTTATTTTAAATAGAAATATTTTATTTTATATTTTTTAATTACATACTATTAGAATATAAATAACTTTTTCTAGACATAACCACAAGTTTGAGCTTTTGGTTGAATCGGTTCTTTGACACATACTCCATATTTATTACTTTTTTTTTACGTTTACAGGAATAAATACAATTCAAGAATTATTGTATTTGGTGTATTATAATGGTTATTAGAACAAAATATATTTGTTAGTTACTCCCTCCGTCCAAAAAAGAATTACCCATTTACTATTACGGTCTCTCGATAACTCCTATTTGTTTGTGTATTTTCATTAATTATTTGATAAAATAAATTTTTGTCAGCTCTTGTTTTTGTAAATTTTTTGATGTAGTTTTTTAAATATAATTTTTTATTTTGTATTTTATTTAACAATTTATAAATAAAATCATTTTAAAATCATGGAGTTTTGCACGTTGATAAAAAATGAGTAAAACATTATTGGAAGGAGGGAGCGTAATATAACAAGTCATGGTTGGAGAATGGAGCAAAAAGTGACTTGTTATACCACTATTCATTAGCTAAAAAAAGCAATAGCAAGCCACATATACCAAGCCCCTTTGGAGATGCTCTAAGTCCCTTGCCCCCTTCTCTCATTGTCCTACGTTGCCCCCCTCGGATCCAATTGGTTATGAGTGAGCATGGTACAATATAATAAGGCATTTAATTAACGTTGATATCGTACAACATGTTTTAATTTTGTACTCCCTTCGTTCCTTTAAACCCCTCCACTTTTGACTTTGGGCAAAAATAAGGAAAGGGTAATTTTGGTTGACTTTCCAATTTTATCCCTGATGTGATGGGTAAAAGTAAGATGTGATAATTTAGTTATCTAACTATATATAATGCTTGGATCCTTTTTTGTACAGTGTTCCCGCCAAAATGTAGGAGTGCTTCATTGGGCCAATTTGGGCTGGGCTATAGCGGGCTGGGCAAATGGGCTGTGTCAAATCACACTGCGCCACCTCCATTTATTGCATAATGTATGGTCTAATCAAGTGTAAGAGTTGTCATGGCACTCTTTTTTAAAGTGGTGCGCCTATCTATAAAGTAAATAAAAATGTTGTGTGGCTCCATAAACAAAATCTAATACAATCCAATCCATTATTACACTTACACACGGTGTAATAATCTATTACAATCAAATGCATTATTAGACTATACACCATGGATCCTCGCACAAACATCAAAAGTAGTGCCTTTTTTTATGTCTAATCAACATTAATTAAATAAATATGTGCTATGAAAAGTTAGGCCTTTGATTGACTGATGGACAATTGGACATAATAGGCTGACAACTATACAAATAGCATCATTTAAATACAAAACATATCAAAGTGAAGATTTGCAAATCTTCCGAAACCATTGCCAACAATAAATGAGAGCTGGCAGCAACCAAATCAAATCCGGTACAATAAATGTGATACAAAGCTCAATATAAATAGACTAAAATTTACATTTTCAACATCCAAAATCCAACCCTAGGCAATCTTCTTCCAACTTCAAGGTTAGCAACTTCATCTTCTATCCATTATTAAATGTTCTTCTTACTAGAAATGACTCTTTGCTTTTTTTTGCTATGTGATTGCAGGATTAATACAAATTGGATGGTAGTTCACCAATAAACACTACACAATTCTATTTCAGTTTTGAGAAAATGCTGAATAGAAGATAAAAACATCTTTTTTACTAGAATGTGCATTTTGCATTAATGACATTAATAATCAACAAGGTTCTATGAAAAAGCAGTGTTAAATAATAATTACTCCGTATAAGTTTAAAATTCAAATCTTGGGACAAAAAAGAAGAAATAATATACTAAGTATTTTGTATTGTTAATACTTGCACTAACTATATGGAGAAACGTTGTAATAAAAAAATTTGATATAATTGAGTAGAACCAAAATTTGAGCTTATAACAGAAGTCAATAAAACATACTCTGTACGTAAAATAAACTCATATACTTTTTTTTTGTTGAAAAACTCATATACTTTATGATTATACTTTTTTATATACTTATTAAACAAAATATTTTCAAACTAGGAGATTTTTCAGAAAAAAATGTGAAAGATGAAACAAATAAATTAAGAGAGAGATTTTAAGAACATATGTGCAAATTGGAAAACAAGAAATTTAAACATTGATGCTGAAAAAAATTAGCAGTTTATCGAAATATATGTTAATATGATGTTAAGGAATTATTGGATTTTATGTATTAAACAAGACATCTTATCATTTACAAGTAATAAATGAAAATTAAAATTTTTCCTTCAATAAAACATCAACATTTAGGCTCGAAAATTAAATCAGCAGTTTTTAGAAATTAATGTTATTATGATCAAATGAAAAAATTTGGGGATGAATGAACATCATTTAGAACAACGCATTAAGGAAAAAATTCATAAATTTTTAAAAACGGTTTGCCGTAATTTTAAAAGATTATTTACACTTACAAATCAAATACTTATTATTAATGAATTACAAAAATTCACATGCATGGTTGTTTTAAACAGATCTAAAATTGAATAACTCTGAATTTTTAAAAAATGCCTTTCAAATTTTGAAATCTGTTAGAAAACAACGGATCTAACCAAAATTCATACCTTAATGAATGGGAGTGTGAACTGAGGAAAAATTTGATCTTAAGGAATAATGAAATAAAGATACCAGTGAAGTCCGCGATGATAACCCGGCGATGAGATCCTCCATCTCACGGAACACTCTCTCGCTCTTCTCTTTCTCTCTCTCTCTCTCTCTCTCTCTCTCACGAGTATATCACTCTCTCTCTACGTCTAACATCTGGAAGTACTCTCTCTCTCTCTCTGTGTGTAAAGGGTCTCTCTCCCTCTTTGTCTGTCTCTCTCTCTATCTACTTCCATCGCTGGCGTTCTCCAAGAGACGAAAAAGGAAGATCTAGAGAGATCGAACAAAAGCGGCGTGTTTGTGTGGCCAAAAGATGGCCACGGTTAGGGTAGGTTTATTTTATGTTTAATCGGTATTCTGCCGAAGAAATAAAAGCTATGTGCGTTGGGCCTCCATTGTAATAAATGTTGGGTTCTCCTGGTCATAGGTGTGGGCTTTTAAATTTGGAATGAGACAAAATATTTAAAAATAATGGTCTATGATTTTTATACAAAACAAAATTTGTTTTTACAAAAATAACCTTTCTAAACCAATTAAATGATTCGGATTGTAAATTGTTTTTATAAATTAAAATTTATTTTTAAGTTAGTTTATGTATTTCATAATTAAAAAAAGAATTGGCAGTTGGTTGACCCCATGTTACAAGTGCATGCAAGACTATTCAAGACTCAAATTTTATGGAAGACTGTTGGAAATGCTTTGTTGTACATGGTCATCTTACATGTTTACAAATTGGTGTTGTGGGATGGGGATTATTTTTCGTTTGCGATCATTGTGCGATTCCGACACCACCTATACCCACACCACTTTTACTACGACGATCTGGACGAGTTAAAATTCCAAACGAAAAGTATTTCAATGATCTTTATGTCCTTGATTAAGATTATCAATTTCTTCTTAAGATATTTAATCTTACCGCTTTTGAAATGTATGATTCTCTAATGTTGGAAGAAATTAAAAAGCTCCCCATGTGTAATCCATCCGACATGTTTTTTGGAACGATGCTAAGGATGTAACTATTTGTATGTCTATTATGATTATGATCAAGATTAGTTTTTGTTATGAAGTTACAAATTCCAAACATTACCTATCAATCTATGTGTTACTACTCTATTCTTTTTTTTCTTAGCTATTAAAGTGAAATATCATAAATATGCACTTCAAAATTTGAATTTCTAACATATCATAAATATGCACTTCAAAGAAGTGTTCCAAAACTTATGACATGGCATGTCGACTATGGTCCTTAATGTACACTATCTTATTTTGGGCAATTTTAATAAATATTGTTATTTTTTTTACTACGGTCCTTAATGTACACTATGGTCCTTATGTACACTACTTTTTTAACATTATATGTTATTCCAAACCAAAGCAAATATTACGTTATTTTACTGCCCGTGCATCGCACGGGTACGAGTCTAGTTAGAGAAAAAGTATGATGTATTAGGTAGGGTATAAAAAAGTAAGGGTAAAAGTGAGTTTTTAATAAAAGTGGAAGTGTTTTAGAGAATTCAAAAAAAAACGAAAGGGAAAGGGTTTTGTGGAACGGAGGGAGTATGAAATTTTATGTCGCATCGATTATGAATTATGGGTTTGGTATGGTTTGCGATGATTTCGTACCGGTTTTGGTATAAATTAAGGTAAATGTGTGTGTGTGTGTATGTGTGTGTGTGTGTGTGTATATATATATATATATATATATTTCAACTTGATTTATATCGTATAAACGGGGATGAAGATTATATAGCTAGCAAATGTGCTTATATACTCTATTTAATTATAGACACATTTTGATAAAATTTTAAAAAATAAATTCCATAAAAGGTCCCTAGTTATAGGTCATTTTACATATTTAGTCCTTACATATCAAATATTACTAATTTAGTCCCCAATTATCCCCAATTATTATATCATTTTTTACTAATGGTCCTTTGTTAACGTTTTTGTTAAAAACATGGATAAATTGTACATTCATACTTCTCTCTCCTCAATTAAGCTTCATCCCTCCCTCTCGTACTCTTTTCCAAACTCGTCGTTGAGTTTGAAGCTCTAAACCCAGAACTGAAATGATCACTTCTCTCTCAATTATTAATCTTTCTGGTGGAACCTAAAATCAAAACCAATAAGATTTATGGATGAGTTTTATCGGTTACTTTCAAGAAATTGCAAAGAAAATAAACATTAAAACTCATCAATGAATGTTACTGTTTCGAATTTGGGTTCCACCAGTTTGACAAACAATTGAGAGAAGAGTGATGATTTCGGTTTTGGATTCAAAACTTTAAAAATTCAATGACGGGTTTGGGAAAGGAGTGCGAGAAGAAGAAGAAAGCTTAATTGAGGAGAGAAAGGAGTGTGAATTTACAATTTTATACACGCTCTTAAGGAAAATGTTAACATAAGATCATTCGTGGAAATGAATCTAATAATTGGGGAGTAAATTAGTAATATTTGATATATAGAGACTAAATATGTAAAACGACCTATAACGGGAGACCTTTAATGGAATTTACTCAATTTTAAAATAAACGAATGTAGTTTTTTTTGAGAGGATGTGAAAATAAAGAGTGTTAAATAAATGGAAACGAGCATTTTGTGTTTTTTTTTAAAATGTCCGTGCATGTATACTAGAGAGTAGGGACTATGGACCCACTCAATTTTGGTCCAAAGACTGAAACCAGTAGATAAAATAGGAGGTTTAGTAACAACATATCAGGGGACCGGACATAATAAACCAACCAACCAACCAACCCTTCAAGTTCAAACAACATATATATGTTCCGAGTCACATGCATGTTCTTTGATGGTTGAAAACTAAGACAGAAAAACAAACGCATACCGATCGAGAGAGAGTATATTATCGACTACATACAAGACGAGAAGAATTCCAGTAATACCCTCTTGAATACTCAATGACATTTACAAACGTCCGAAACATCGTCCTATAATTGCCATTGAGCCCAGGTGTTAAATCAAAACACCTCCTCATGCACTCGAACCCTCTCACCATTTTACCATGTAGCTGGTAATGCGAAGCGAGCACAAACCAAATCTCTGCAACCTGACTCCTTTTTTCTCTTGTCCAAGCTTCGGCTATTGCCTCTGCTTCCATAAAGAAACACTTTTTACAGTATCCCTCGATGATCAACTTAAGAATGTTCAGATGATCAGCACTAGTACGCCGATTCTCACATCTTTCCCACTCTATCACCATCTTCCTGGCATCATTTAGCCTGCCCGACTCCACAAGTGACTTGATATTCTCATGATCCACCATATGGGTTGTTGGATTGACTTCTAAGAACATGGCGCCTGCAGTGGCAGGTTGAACTGATCTAGTGCAGCGCAAGGGAAAGAATGATCCACATTCTTCTTCTAGGTATTTGAAAAACAACATCGGAACCACTAGGTGAACTTCAAAATGGTTACCAGTTACCCAGAAGCAGTTAAATGCTTGGATCACATTACCCACTTTAAGATATTCTTTGCAGAGTAAGCCTGAAAGTTTGTCAACGCCCGGCTTCCCTTTTCTACCCCACACCTCAATTTTATTAAATGCTTCTCGTAATTTACCATTTTTGACATACTCTTCAATAATTGTGTATGGGATGCCAATCCCATCCAAATCGCACCAATTAGCTGATGCTTCCCACTCAGTCATGAACTTCACAGCCTCATCTAACTCTCCAAGCTTCACCAGCGACTTTATCACATCTCCATAATCTAGCAGATAATTGGGTCTTTTTCTTCTAATATCCTTCTGTAAAATCACCCTCGCCTTTTCAAGAGCACCGGTGGCCTTATCTAGAAGAAATTCTCTATCATACAACTCGGCTACCACGGCGTACGTGCACCAGTCCATGACGATGTGGGGTTGACTCTCCATCTCTCTCAGCATTATCTCCACCCCATCCAGATCACCTTCTATCCCCAATGAACTAATGCACATTCTGTAACTATCATTATCAGGCAAAACTTTGCTCTTCTTCATCTCGGCCATCACCCGAGGGATCTCGTTAATTTCGCAACCTTCAGCACAAATGTGCATGGTTTCTTAGAAAAGGAGCGGTGACAACGCAAAACCCAACTCTTTCATCTTCTGAAGATGCCATAAAGGACTCTTCCATGTACCTATGTTTTCATGCACAGAACAATGAAGGATTTCTCTACATGTCTTGCAATTTCTAGCTTGTTTTGGCAAGTTCCTGACATAGCGCTCCGAAGCAGAACATCCTTGCACTTTATAAATCAAGTTGAACTGGACAGCATAGTCACTAGACGAAAATTTATATACACCTTTCTTTCTCATCCATTCATAAACCTGCAACAGACAGCAAAAGCAAAATGCTATCAGAAGATATTTTAATGGAATCGGACTATGATTTCAACTAGAACGCATTCCATCTAATTCTGATAAGCGTGCGAGAAATTCACATTGACCATCACCCACCTGACACTAGATTCAAACCTGAATATCAAGTTAACATGCAATAAAATATTAGTCCTGTCTCATTTCGCACAATCGCCCTCAATTTATTGCACAGGAAGGTGACTCAAAAGCTTTGAAACAAAAAAAAAATTCAATATGTCCCATTCAAAATTGAAATCGTAGTCAAATTTGGAGGCAAACATGATACTAACTACTCTAGAATAAATTAAACCCTACAGAAAGTTTTACTTCTCGTGTCAAAGTAAAAAGTGCAACAATAATGAAAACTTACAGAACAATTTGTGTCAATTTAATCTTTGATGGAGTGCTGATTACGAGAAAGTCTTGTCTATCCTAGATATAAAAAAATTACTAATTTTTTTTTAAATTAATTCCCAAGAACAACTTAATACTATATATGTTCATGGAGTTGCAATCTTACACCACCCCAGGTGGTGTAAGATCGTGACACCGGTTAGATTGGGACACATACAGTGTGTCATTTGTAAAATTGATAATTCTTACCCCTCATAATACTCCTCACAGACCTCCACCACGACCTCGCCCACTCACGACCATCCTAGCCCCAGACATTATTTTGACCAAGATGTCAACCACACTTATATGGTGCAATTGCATGGGCTAGGAGTGTCGTGACTCGTGAGGTGGCGAGGTCAGGGGTGGGAGATTATGAGGAGAGTTATGAAGGGTAGCAACTGCAAATTTTACGAAAGGAGCACCATAAGTCCCCCAACTTAAAATCGTGACACGAGTTAAATTACGGCACTTATGATGCTACTTTCATAAAATTAGCAGTTCCTACCTCATGCCCACGCCCACCCGGATTACCAATTTGGGACAATTTAGGTTGGGAGGGGGGGGGGGGGGGGTAGAGATGGAGTGGGTGAGAGCAGAAAAATATGGGAAAAATGTTTAAGGGATGGCTAAGAGGGGTTAGAACACTTAATTTTACGTCAGAGCCCC